GAGAAAGACAAGTACCATATGATATCACTTACATGTGGAATCTAAAATATGGCACAAATGAACTTATCCATGAGACAGAAACAGATTCAACAGTCAGAGAAAAGACTAGTGGATGCCAAGGTGTAGGGGTTTGGGGGAGGGATGAGTGGGAGTTTGGGGTTAGCAAACCTAAGTTATTGTGCATGGAATGGATAAACAAGGTACTACTGTACAGTACAGAGAACAACTATGTTCAGTATCCTATGATAAACCATAATGGAAAATAATATTTCAAAAATAATGTGTGTGTGTATATATATATATGTATATATAAAACTGAGCCACTCTGTTATACAGCAGCAGTTAACACAACATTGTACATCAACTATACTTCAATAAAAAAGTAAAGAAACCTGCTTCCAGGACACATTTTACTTAAATGTTTTCAGTTACAGTATTTAAAAGATGTTTTAAGTAGTGATGACCCAAACGATAATTAGTTTACTTGTAATCACTGATTACATATTCCCTATTCACTCAAAAACAAAAATAAAAAACCAGAAAATTACTCCCAAATCCACAAAATCCGAATTAGAGAAATATTATAAATCTCTGAATCAATACATATGTGATGAGGGTACCCCAACACAGAAACAGTTTTCTCTCCTTTCTTTTAAGATACCAGTGTTTTCTCTTATTCTGAAATGGCTCATAATTTTTAGAAGGGAAAATATTTAGAGCTTCTTTCACCCAGGGAGCATCCTTGGGGACAGGAGGAAGTTGCCTAGTAATTAGACAGGTAAAGTTATGATCAGACTTTCAGATGTGGTTGTAGAACTTAAAGAGGCTCAGACTCAGTACAAAAAAGGGAGGGAGGCAGCTTTTTGGAGGAACCGAGAATCTTTTCAGTCTGGGGAGTGGTACACTTCTACCGCAGGGTCCAGGAGTGTGTTACAGTGGAGACTGTCTGCAACACATGTTCTTACAAACCCTGTAGGATAAGGATGGCCTACAAGTCCTATTACAGCAGAATTAATGATCAAACTTTTTTTTTGCATTCAGATAAGAGATCAGAACACTTATAGCTTATTTGTCTCTATGTCTTGTATTTATTTTCTCTTCCCTTATTTTCCTAAGAAGATTTTTCAGAAAAGCTACAACCTTAGGGCAACAAGAAGACTCAGAAGGCAGAGGGGTCAATGGTTGAAGTAGCATCCAGAGTAAGACCCACAGTCCTACTGGTCCAGGCAAATCTGCTGATGCAGGCAAGCACTTGAGGAAGTAAAGGAAGCAGGCTGTAGGGAAGCTGGGAGGTGAGAGTTTTCCCCAAGTAAATACTACTGGAACCTAGTGACACTGTGAGAAATGATGCATTTCTCCTCGTCGGATAGGAAGAGCTAAGACATGCAGCTGAATGGGGACTGGCAGCTTATGCCTGCAGTTTTTCACCAGAACACTCAGCCTCATCCAGAGACTCATCAGACCTGAGCAGGGGGTGTGTATCTGAAGTGTTGGCCAGAGTTCTGGGCCAGAATTCTGCCCAGCTCTGGGTCTCTCTCTCCCCTCCTTTTATAAAGGAGTATAGTGGTCCATCTCCCCACCCCAATCCTTGTTTTCTCTTTCCGTGGTTTCAATGACCCATCAAGCCTGGTCCAAAAATATTAAGTGGAAAATTCCAGAAACAATTCATAAGTTTAAACTGCACACCATTCTGCGTAGTGTGATGAAATTTCATACAGTCCAGCTCTGTTCCACCTGGGATCCCCAACCATGGCATGATGATCCAAGATCACTCAAAGATGACCCTCCTTCTTATGCACCATCAGAAGGTCAACAGTAACCTAACACTACATCACAATGCCTATGTCATTCACTTCACTTCCTCTTAACATGGAGGCATTTCATCATTTCACATCATCACAAGAAAAGTAAGTACAGTTCTATCAGTATCTATAAGATACTCTGAAAGAGACCACATTCATACAACTGTTAGTACAGTGCTTTATTATAATTGTTCTATTTTCAGTTATTGTTGTTCACTTCTTACTGTGCCTAATTTATTAATTAAACTTTGTCACAGGTATGTACTTATGGGAAAAAAACATGGTACTACAGGACTTTGTAACATCTATAGTTAAAGGCATCTACTGTGGGTCTTGGAACATGGATAAAAGGGGAACTACTATCAGGCTCTTCAATATGTGATAGTAAAGGCTGAATCTCAAAGCATTACCAATGTTGAAGTGTTGCTAAGAAGTCCTAGCGGTAGAGTGATTAGTAGCCCTAGTACTAGAGGCTGAGTGATTGGGTGACATACACTTACCAGGGTTAAACTTAGCTTTAGAACAACTGCAACCATGATACATTGTGACTTGAGTTCCTCACTACAATGTCTTAGTTTTAGATCCTTTTTCTCCTGTGGGAGGCCTATTGCTTATTGAAGCTAGTTTATCCATGTTTGACCCACTCTTTAGGTACTCAGATGTCTTTCCCCTAACATTCAGCTTCACTTACAAGCAAAGACTGGCCTGTAGAACAAACTGATGGAGATGTATGGGAAGACTTATTCTTTCTCATATGATCAGGTTGTTTACTATATACTGTGGCCAAATCATTGGACTAGACCATTAAAAATCTTAAAATATAGTGGATTTTCTACCTAAGCTGTATTTTATGAACTTCCTTCCACCCATCACAGTTTTGGCAAAAATCAATCTTAAAAAAATACTCAAAATTTGCTCAAAATGCAAGGGAAAAGAAAACAGGCAGCTTTCCAGTGTGTTCCCTGGACCCAAAGCAACCTTATCCAACTGAGTGTGTTATTTGAGGCATAAAATTAAGGAGTTTTCATTTGAGCTTAAATAGCGGTTAAAGGAATTATTGCTGTAAATATTAGTGTTATAGGAATATTTTAAGTAACTAAGTAGCATGTTGTTCTATAGCCACAGTTATAGTACTTGGTTGCCATACTTGAGATTATTTATCTCTTTTTGGTGGAGGAAAAGAGAACAGGGAACAGGGAGATGCAGGAAGAATTCCTGATTTTCTTTCAGTATTTTGTGGACAGAAAAATATTCCAGAGAAACAACTCAGAATTTCAGAATGAAGATGATATATTCTTCAAAATCCAATTCAGTCACCAAATTAGAAACACAGACACTTAATCTGCTGTCACAACAGTGCAGAGAAAGGTTACAGAGTGAGAACAGGGTAAGTGCCAGTTCCTTGCTAAACTTTAAACACTTTAAAAGATATAATACGTTGAGATGATTTAACACTTAGTTAACCCTTTCCGAAAGACCCGAACATTCAATGGCAATGCTAAGGGGCAGGAGGCCACCTAAAGATAGGGTCCCTGCTATGGTCTGAATATCTGTGTCCCCTCAAAATCCACATGTTGACACCTAACACCCAATGTGATAGGATTAGGAGGTGGGGCCTTTGGGAGGTGATCAGGTCAGGAGGTTGGAGCCCTCTTGAATGGGACCAGTGCTCTTATAAGAGATTTCAGAGATCTCCCTTGCCCTCTCCTTCTACCATGTAAGGCCAAATAGGAAGTGGGTCCTTGTCAGACACTGAATCTGCTGGCACCTTGATCTTAGATGTTCCAGCTTCTAGAGCTGTGAGAAATAAGTGCTGTTCATAAGCTATTCAGCTTATGGTATTTTGTCACAGCAGCTCAAATGTGCTAAGAGAGCACCATCCCCAAAGTCTGTGTTCTTCTGCCTGTCTCAGTCCAAGGAATTACACAAGACTTAGCAATTGACTGAATCCACATTACATTGAGGCCCAGCTGCCTTACAGAGGCTGTTTGCCTTACAAAGAATCAGCTGTAAATGTTAGGAAGCCATCTGTGTACCAAGAATGAAACTGTACTGTTCTTATGCCCAAGTCTCTCATGATTCTTATATTCTTTTCCTGTCACCAGCTATTGTTCTACATCAGATTTAAATGAAAGAATCTTTCCAGTCCTCCCTAGGGCAGTGGTGCAAAGCTATTTTTGGAAAAACACTTAACGTCATTACTTCAGTTCTTTTTCGTCATGACCCTCTTGTACGATGGCCTCAGCCTGCAGGTTCATAATCCCTTCTACAAAATTCTTGGACCAGATGTGTTTGGAATTCAAGATTTTTTCAGGTATGGTGTCCTTAGCATGTAGTACACAAAACTTCCAGTGAGGTCCAAGCCAACACCTCATAATCAAATGCATTAACGTTTCTGCAGGGAAATGTATGAATTTTCACAATAAAGAAAAGCTGTAAATAGCCTCAGATTAGTTTAGGGCAAGCTTTGCCATCAAATGAGTTTTAGTGTCAGATTTGCAAAAACAACTGTCAGTTTTGGGGGCATTTCGGCTTTTGAAATTGAGGATAAGTAAGTGTCGATCTCTATTGGGTTTTCAGAGTTAAGACAAACTGAACTATTGGTGCTTAGAGAAAGAAGAGACAAATACCACCATACACTCTAATCCAAGAACCTAAAATAACCCGAGGGGGCCTTTCAAAGGGGTCTTTGAAACACCAGATTTGACTCCATTAAACAGGGCTTTATGGAAAGTGGATTGCCTTTCTTCCTGGGCTCCCATCATCTGACCCTTGACATACGTTATTCCCCAGAGTGAGTCTGTGATGATTCTATTGTCATGGAATCTAAGCTGCACTGCTGACCTTCAGGGAAATGGCCCAGAAGTAGGCAGACCTAAGTGTGCTGAGACTCACAGAACATTCCCAGACTAGAACCTCAACAAGGCGAGAAGACTGTTGCAGCCAACTGGCATGCTTATACTATGACTCCACAATAAAGTGATTACACTGTTTGATTTTTTAAGAAGATAACCCCAAAAGTTGCCTTTGCCCTTAATATAGGGGAACCGCTTGTTAAGCCCTATTCTTTGAAGTTTTAAAGCGGAATTGTGAAGATTATATTCTGGGTTGTGCTAGGGATTATATACTAACAAAGGGGTAAAGTGTTCTTGAGCTGAGGGGCTGTCACCAGTGGAGACAAATGGAGCAAAGGCTTACTTGGCTTCCAGGGCCAGTGCGATGATGCCCGCAGCCATGGGGGCTGAGGCTGATGTCCCTGTGTGGTTGTCGGTGCAACGCTGCCTCAGGTCCGTAGTGATCTAGAAGACAGAGGTGGAAAATTTAGGGCTCGGGAGTCAACGTGAGTCACATGCAAGTAGAAAGAAATTTACTCATAAAACTGGAATGGAGGAGTGTTGAAATAGTTGTTTTAAATTCCTGGTTCCTGTGCTCCTGTGACCATATCACTTCCAGAGAATTGCCTGTGTAAATCAACTTTGCAAAGGGAAGGGTCTGGAAATTGGATTCCACTTCAGTTACAACCGGGGTCAAGACTAAGGTGAGCCTTTGGACTGAAACACACAGGTTGTACAAGTTTATCCTTAAAATCTACACCTAGCCACCTCACTTGCCTCACTCTGGTCCCAGCTTTAGCTAACATCAATGTACTTTTGTTACCCCAACATTTTAAATAATCAAACATGTTGAGCCAATCACCAGATACTGAGTTAAGCATGATCAGCGTAAGGAATAAAAGTACAGGGTTTTGTTTCTGCCCTCTCAGAACTATCACCTTGGAAAAGCTGCAGGTGCAAGCAAAAGATTTGTTCTGTTTTAGAAGGAACATTTGCTTACATACTCATTTTTAGGATATACAGAAATGTGACTTGGATGAACCAAGATTTAAATCCTGACACATTTAACACAAACACTAAAAACAGGGTTGAAGCCAGTGCACTTGATGTGAAATTAACAGCCCTAAGTACATGCTTGAACACTATAGGAGATTAGCCATTTTCCATTTTTTTGAAAACCAAAATGTTAAGAATCAGATAGTCTCCTCTTGGTTTGAAGCCAGTTCACTTTAGCTGTGGTTGAATAACATGCCCATCAGCAAGGGCAGGGTTTCTCAACCTGTGTTTCATAATCATTTCCTGAAGGAAGAAAAATAAAATGCAGATTCTTCATAACCAGAGAAAGGAAGCATCAGGGTAAAAGATTTTGCAAAACATTATAACAGCTAAGATTTAAAAATCCTTCCTCCCTGATAAGAATCCATTTTTGTGCTCCCTCCTTGGGACTAAAAGCCTTCGTGTTGGGAAGGTATAAGGCTTATGAGATGAACTTACTAGGACTCACATCATAGCTATTGAAAGACATCGGTAAAGCTTTCTCAGGCATCAGGGTAAGTACATCGCCCATATTTTACAGATAAGAAAACTGAAGTGAGGACATATCTGGTGGCTCAGTGGTAAAGAATCTGCCTGCCAATGCAGGAGACACAGGTTCCATCCCTAATCTGGGAAGATTCCACTTCTGCAGAGCAACTAAGCCTATACTCTAGAGCCCAGGAGCCGCAACTACTGGGTCCTTGTGTCACAACTACTGAAGCCCATGCACCTTACAGCCTGTGCCCCACAACAAGAGAAGCCACCGTCATGAGAAGCCTGGGCACTGAAACGAGAGATAGCCCTGCTTGCTGCAACTAGAGAAAAGCTCGCGCAGAATGGAGACCCAGCACAGCGACAGATAAACAAACAAAATTATAAGAAAAATTAAAAAGAAAGGAAAACAGGTGAAAGATCAGCAGAAAGGTGCAGGGAGACAGAGGTGGCAAAAACAAAGCCCTGCTTCTTCTAAGGTGCATCCTTCAAGAGAAGTATGCAGATAAGCTGATTTGGAAAGAAATTTGATCATCACCAAAAGAAACTAATGTGTAACTCCTTAGAAATGAATCCTCCCCTAAAAGTTTCCTTGGTGTTGTGTGAGGATGTCTGAAGGGACTCAATAATTAACAGTTATAAAATGAGATGGACATCTTGGTGATTTCATCTCACACGACACCATCAGTGCTCACTGTCTGTTCCTAATGCCTTTTGACATTACCTCTAATATTACCAGCTTGGGCTTCCAAGGTGGCGATAGTGGTAAAGATCCTGCCTGCCAATGCAGGAGACTTAAGAGACACAGGTTCAATCCCTGGGTCGGGAAGATACCCTGGAGGAGGAAATGGCAACCCACTCCAGTATTCTTGCCTGGAGAATTCCAAGGACAGAGAAGCCTGGTGGGCTATAGTCCATAGCATCGCACAGAGTCGGACACGACTGAAGTGACTTAGCACGCATGCACACAATGTTACCAGCTTAGCCATACTAGAGAGGTGCTGATACAAAAGAAGTAGGAGAAAGAACAAAAATATAGATAAGCACATAGATATGGTGGCAGTAGAGAAGAGGAGAGTCCTGTACTCTTCTCTGGGCTAACTGATTGCTGGGCAAGAGCCCGACGGCATGTTTGGCAAGCAGGGAGAGTTGTGTCTAGATTCACAAATTTGATTAGCCAGACATCCATGGAGCCTCCACACTGGGTGTTCAAGAGATATCTGGGTAAAGAGAGCCCTACCTGTTTCTCTATTAAGAAACGCTCTTGCACTATTGGTGGGAAGGTGAATTGATGCTGCCAGTATGAGAATAGTATGAAGGTTCCTTAAAAAATCTAAAACTAGAACTACCATGTGAGTCAGCAATCCCACTACTTGGCATATACCCTGAGAAAGTCACAATTCAAAGAGACACATGTACACCAATGTTCACTGCAGAGCTATTTACAATAGCCAGGACACGGAAGAACCTAAATGTTCATCGACAGCTAAATGGGTAAAGAACATGTGGTATATGTATGCAATGGGATACTACTTAGTCTCAAAAAATGAATAAAATTGGGTCATTTGTAGTGATGTGAATGGACCTAATAAAGTCTGTCATATACAGTAAGTCAAAAAGAGAAAAAAATACTGTATACTAATGTATACACATTAAAAATACTGTGTACATTATGCATAATGCATAATATATGGATGTGAGAGTTGGACTATAAAGAAAGCTGAGTGCTGAAGAATTGATGCTTCTGAACTGTGGTGTTGGAGAAGACTCTTGAGAGTCTCTTGGACTATAAGGAGATCAAACCAGTCAGTCCTAAAGGAAATCAATCCTGAATATTCATTGGAAGGACAGATGCTGAAGCTGAAGCTCCAATACTTTGGCCACCTGATGCAAAGAACTGACTTGTTTAAAAAGACCCTGATACTGGAAAAGATTGAAGGCAGGAGGAGAAGGGGATGACAGAGGATGAGATGGTTGGATGGCATCACTGACTCGATGGACATGAGTTTGAGCAAGCTCCAGGAGTGGGTGATGGACAGGGAAGCCTGGCATGCTGCAGTCCATGGGGTCACAAAGAGTCAGACATGACTGAGTGAGTGAACTGAACTGAATGCATAGATATGAAATCTAGCAACATGGTAGAGATGAACCTGTTTGCAGGGCAGGAAAAGAGATGTGATGTAGAGAAGGGATATGGGGACATGATGTGGGGAGAGGAGGGTGGGATGAATTGGAAGAGAAGCATTAAAATATATACACTAACGTGTAAGATAGCTAGCTAGTGGAAAGCTCCTGCATAGCACAGGAAGCTCATTCCAGTGCTGCAATGACCTAGGAGGGAAGTTTGGGGGTAGGGAGGGAGGGAGGCTGAAGAGGGAGGGGTTACATGTAACTTACGGCTGATTCACTTTGCTGTAAGCAAAAGCCAACACAACATTATAAAGCGACTATGTTGTTAATTGTTTAGTTCCAAGTCACATCTGACTTATTTGAGACTCCATGGACTGTAGCCCATCAGGCTCCTCTGTCTATGAGATTTTCCAGGAAAGAGTACTGGAGTGGGTTGCCATTTTCTTTTCCAGGGGATCTTACTAACCCAGGGCTCGAACCCGCATTTCCTGCATTGTCAGGAGGATGCTTTACCACTGATCCACCTGGAAAGCCCTTAAAGCTATGATACGCCAATAATAAAATTTTTAAAAATTAAAAAAGAAACTTCTGAGACATTCAATTGTTGACTTTAAAAAGGTATTTCTTTTGGTGGGGGGTGTGGATAAAAAAACCCCACAGATTTACTGTTTTAACAATGTTTAACAATGTACAGTACAGTATTGCTAATTACATGCACGTTGTTGTGCAATTCTAGAGCCCTATGATATTTTCATCTTGCAGGACTCCCCACCCCCTCTCCCCAGCAACCAGCATTCTACTGTCTGCTTCTATGACCGTCACCACTCTAGGCACCTCATGTCAGTGGAATTACACAGCATTTTTTGTGTGAGTGTGTGTGTGACTGGCTTATTCCACTTAGAATAATGTCCTCAAGGCTCATCCATGTTGTAGACTATGGCAGGATTTCCTTCTTTTTAGGCTGCATAATATTCCACTGTACTACTTCATTGTGTCATATAGTATATTTTCTTTATTGATTTATCTGTCAATGGGCAAATGATAGATGAATGGGTGTGTTGCTTCCACTTCTTGCTTATTGTGAATAATGCTGCAATAAACATGGGTGTGCAAATGTCTCTTTCAGATCCTGTTTTCAATTCTTTTGGATATATACCCAGAAGTGGGACTGATGAACTATCAAAAAGTGATTTCTAGTTCATTTGAATATATGGGTGAATCTGCAGCCTTATTTTCCAAAGGCCTGGTCCCTAAGTCAATGCATAAACACCACAGACGCAGCCTTTTTCTAGGTCTCTAAATACACTGTTGTTGAGAGATGGCCTTGCCTGCATTCTTCTCATTTTACCTCACCCTTATGGCCACATTCCTTTGCCAAGTTTTATTTTTTTTCAATGACTTGTGCCTGAATTCAAGATTTTTCATGATGCTTTCCCACTTGGCTCACGTTGCTTATTCTTCAGCTGCACCACAATGCATCGCTTTCAATGCACAGAAACAAATCCAGAATAAACACTCCAAGTGTGTGTATGTAGTGTTTTTGAATCTAATAAATAACCACCTCCAGCCAACCTCAAATGTGAACAATAAAAATTTTATAATGTTGGATTTGCCATATGCCCCAACCAAATAGAGTCAGCAGGCATAGACACACATGATATGTACATAAATAAAAACCTACTCAGTACCTTTATATATAAACACCAATTTATCGTTAAATGCTATTAATATAGGCAAGTTTGTAGAATTCGACAACATCATTGTTGTGCTTTTGTATTTTTCTCCCAATCAATTTCACTGAATGAAAC